GAAGTGGCGCTGTGGCTCAAGTGGTAGAGCGCTCGCCTTGAGCTGAAAAGCTGAGGGACAGTGCCCAGGCCCTGAGCTCAAGCCCCAGTACAGGCACTAATAATAACAGTAATAATAATAATAATAGAGCCTGTTCCTGGGCCGGAGGGCAGGGAGCGCACGGATGGTCGCAGGACAGACATGAGCAGCAGTGGTGGGAAGGTGGATGAACAGGCGGAAGGCTGCAGGGCAGGTGGACAGTGGGGATGGAAGGTGGGTGGTAGGGGGGAGGCGGGCTGCAGGGGGAGCTGCATGGATGGGGAGGGAGCGACTGGCCGGGGACACGGCCTACCACCGCTGCACTCCTCCACAAATTGGCTTTACCCCACACCATGCGTGTGCTGGTCCTAGGGCTTGAACTCGGGCCTAGGTGCTGTCGCTGGGCTTTTACCTTACTACTTGAGTCACAGCTCCACTCCTGGCGTTTGGTGGTTCAATGGAGGTAAGAGCCTCCTCACAGACTCTCCTGCCCAATCCTCAGAGCCCAGCCTCTTGAGTGGCCAGGGTGACAGGCGTGAGCCACTGGCGCCTGGCTTTCATAAGGGCTATTTGAGAACATGAATGGCCTCCCGCAGAGACGCAGCTTGCGGGGGGCTGAGCCGAGCATGGGTGAGGAGCCGAGTGGTTTCACGTGGCCTTGTCCTGCCAGGGCCTAAAGACCGGCTCCTTCTTCTACCCGGGCGGGAACGTGACCTACCAGGGAGAGGCCGTGACGCTGAGCCGGAAGGAAGGCGTCTGGCACAATTACAGCGACGAGCAGGAGTGGAGGGCGAACGTGGACACGGTGATGGGCTGGTTCACCCATGAGGACCTGGCGCTGGTCACGCTCTACTTCGGGGAGCCGGACTCCACGGGCCACAAGTATGGGCCCGAGTCCGCCGCGCGGAGGGAGATGGTGAGGCAGGTGGACAGGACCGTGGGCTACCTGCGGGACAGCATCGCACGGCACGGCCTCAGCGGCCGCCTGGACCTCATCGTCACCTCCGACCACGGCATGACCACCGTCGCCAAGACGGCCGGAGACCTGGTGGAGCTCCACAGGTTCCCCAACTTCACCTTCCGGGACATCGCCTTCGAGCTTTTAGACTACGGGCCCAACGGCATGCTGATCCCCAAGGAGGGGAGGCTGGAGGCGGTGTACGGGGCGCTGAAGACGGCGCACCCCCGGCTGCACGTCTACAAGAAGGAGGAGTTCCCCCCGGCCTTCCACTACGCCGGCCACCCCAGGATCACCCCCCTGCTCATGTACAGCGACCTCGGCTACGTCATCCATGGGGTAAGCCGCCCGCGGGGCCACCACCGCCTCCTCCTGGGACTGGAGTCGCCTCTCTTCTTTTTGGTGGTACCAGAGATTTGAACTCAGGGCCTTACGCTTGCCTGGAGCAAGTGCTGCACCGCTTGAACCACGCCCTTTTGGCTCTGGCTGTTTCTCAGGCAGGGCCTCCTTTTCCTCGGCCAGGCTGGTCTGAGCCTACGTCAGGCCTTCCTGACTGATGTAGGGAGGGATGGACCGGGTGGCAGGCCATTGCTACCCTTCTCAGCCCTGCGTTCCTTTCCTTCTTCTCTTTTGCTATTGAGATGAAGTCTTGGTCACTTTTTTACCCAGGCTGAGCTGTAACCCTCCTCATCTCCACCTCCCAAGTAGTTAGGATGGCAGCCGTGACCCACCTCCTCCGCCCACTTGTCTAGCTGGTCTCCAGACTTGCGTTTGTGACCTTGGTGTCAAGGTCAAGTGTGGGAAGTCAGTCATGGCAGGTGACAGGAGGGGACAGGAAGTGGCGCCCGGCAGGGCGAGGACCCCAGAAGGACACACAGCCTCTCAACAGGAACCCAGAAGGGGACCTGCAGCCCCCCTGCGGGGACTCAGGGTCAGCTCCTCACCAAGGCTGTTCTGGGGGTGACTCATTTCAGGGGGGTCTCAGAATTCCGGGAAACTGAGCCTCAGAAACTCTGCCACGCAGGAGTCCCTATCACGGCCCAGGGCGGCCTGCCCACGCAGGTGCCCACCCACAGGGGGTGCCGTGCAGAGGGGGTGCTGGAGGCTGCAGCCCCCCGCAAGGCCCCGGGCCCCCTGTCCCCCCCCTGCAGAGAGTGAACGTCCAGTTCAACAATGGGGAACACGGCTTTGACAACAACGACATGGACATGAAGACCATCTTCCGGGCCGTGGGCCCGAGCTTCAAGGCCGGCCTGGAGGTGGAGCCCTTCGAGAGCGTGCACGTGTACGCGCTCATGTGTGAGCTGCTGGGCATCGAGCCCGAGCCCAATGACGGGGACCCCGGCGTCCTGCGGCCCACGCTCCGCTCAGGTGAGAGGGCGCCTTCCTCCAGGCTCCCAGCTGTGTCCTGGACCCGGTCACCCTCCCCCCAGAGCCTCAGCAGGGGCCCTGGGCGGGGCGGGCGGGCGGGGCCCTGGCACTTGTGGAGGAATGGGGGGCCGGGGAGATGCCCCTCTCCCCTCACTGAACCTTCCGGCTTCTCGCAGCCGCCCCGCTCCTGCCCCGCCGCCCGCCCCCCCTGCCGATGGCGCTGCTGGGAGCCATGGTCCTCTTGGCCAAAATCCAGTAAGGTCCCCGGACTCGAGGCCCAGGTGAGACTCCCAGAAGCTGGAGGAAGAGAGGGGGAGAGGGAGGCCAAGCCCCTGCTCTCCCCCCACGCCCCATCCTAGGGAGCCTTGGGGACAGCACAGCACTGCCGGGCCCCCAGCCAGCCCCCCACAGCCAGCACTGCGCCCCCCGCGTGGAGATCACTTCCCAGCACCAACGCCAGCACAGCGGGCAGTGCCACCCTCCCTCGAAGCCTGGGCGACCCGCCCCCCCCAGGGCTGCCCCCCCAGCCGCCCCCCTCCTGACCAGGCCCTGCTCCACACAGGCAGGGAGGGACCCGGCCTCCCAGGGTGCTGTTTGTGAAGGGAGCCACAGGGCCCTGGCTCAGGACGCCCTGGGAGTCACCAGCCGCCCGGCAGGGCAGCCTCCCCGCTCCCTCTCTCCGGCTCTGCCTGGCACAGTCCCGGTGCTTGGCCAATGCAGAAGGAAATCTCTCCTTCCTTCTAGAAACACAAGACTGATGCACCAGCCCAGAGCGCCCACTCAGGCCAGCTTCCCACCACGCTGAGCTGGGGCGCCACGATGTCCTCACCTTGTCTCCGAGGGAGGAGCACTGCCCTCCCCAACACCCCTCCCTCCCCCGCCGGCCCAGCCAGCCCTCCACCCTGGCCCCAACCCCTCCCACACTCACCTGGATCCTCCCAGAAGCCCAGGGGCCGCTCCAAGGCCTGCACAGCCCTTTTCCCACCACTGACTCCCTCCCTCCCTCCTTCCCCCACCTCAGCCTCTCCCTCCTCACCCTGCCCGCCCTGTCCTCTCAGCCCAACACAGGGCACCTGGTCTTCCAGGAAGCCCCCCCCCCAGCCACCCACAGCAGCTGGGTCTCCAGCCCTGGGGTGTCAACTAGACGTGGATGGGGCCTTGCTTTCCCAGCTTATCCCAATGTCTCTGTCCAACACACATGCGCACACACACACACACACACGCATGCGCACGCACACGCACACACACCAGCCCACACCTGGCCACTCCAGGGCTGAAGTAAGCCCACCTGCTCAGATTTACCACCTGTCTTCCCATGAAGCCGCCATTCCACCTGCCACCACGAGGGGGCGCACACGAGCCCCCAGCCCTCAGCGCCCACACACACAGGGCAGGGTGGGGGACCCCTCCAGGAGGGTACTTGGCATGGCTTCTGGCCACAGCCAAGCCGGTGGGAAGAAAGGGGAGGCCATCACTAACTGCCAGGCCCTTCGCAGCCCCCCTCGGCGGGGACCGGGGGACTTTGTTCTCAAAGGCTGCTGGTTTGCCTGCAGACTCCCAGCTGCCCCGATGGGTAATCAATAAATCGCTAATTCCTGGAGGCAGCCGGCCATCGCAGGACCCCATCCATCCTGGGCACGGTGAGGCCCCGGGGTGCGCTCCAGGCCGGCCCAAGGGTGGCTCTGCGTCTGAACAGAAGACAAGGGAGAAACGAAGGGTTCTTTATGCTCTGACAGGGAGCCGGTGTTGTCCGCCAGCCCACGGAGGCCAGGGGCTGCACACAAGGCGCTGCGGCCTGGCTGGGCAGGGGCGGCCCCGCGGGGCTCGGGGTGGGGGCACAGGGTGGCCCCGTGGGGCCTGCCCGGAGGCCAGCACGGCCTCAGTGGTCAGCCCCTGTGGCACTGGGCCTTCAGCGTGGCTCTCCAGAGCGTGGGCTTCGGGGGACCCAGCAATGCTGGCAAGAGCCCTGAGCCTATGAAGCCTGGGGTCATGGCAGCTGTGTCCACGCAGGCTCCGGGTTTCAGACCAGGGCATGGCAGGGTGGCCCCACCCACTCCTGTTTCCCACACCTCCTCCCCCTCCTCCTCCCCC